GGCTTATCTGTATGCAGACTGCTGGTTCCTTGCTTCTCAGAAAGACGCACGTTGACTTTGGGTTCTGGAGCAAGACCAAAGTCCAAAAGTGGATGAACAACCAGAACTTTCTGTCAGAGTTTACAGCCAAAAAGAATTCCTTAGGAAGGGGATGGAAAGGAAAAAAAATATCCTAACCTTCACAGTTCGTGGTGACTGCACAAATTCTGAATCGTCAGACTTACCACCCCCCGACCTTTTGTGGCAAATACAGGTCATTAAAGACAGTTAGTTATGGAAGTCAATTTCCAACTTTGACCAGACTTCAGGGATATCAAGTCAAAAATAAGGAAGCCAGACTACGCATCAGCAGATAATAATAAACCAACACAGAACAGGTCTCCAGCTACAGCACATTTAAAGATATACCGAGAAGGGGATCCCGGCCCTCATCAGCTCAGTGGTTTGGGGTACAATGAGGATGATACATCCAATAACAAACTTAGCTGAGCTGAGGTCGACGAAAAAACACCAATTATCAGCATATTAAAAAAAATATTAATCACACTGAAAGCAAAAAATGGTCTGAATATAAAAATCACATTTTGACATTTCACAAATGCAAACAATTTGCTTTAAAAGAAAAATGAATGTCAAATATTCAAATAACATTTATATAGTACATAATAAATAATGTGTTCCTTGTAAAATTGTGTGTTAACATAATGTACATAATTAGTGTCTGAGCAAATAAAATAGGTTTACAACCTTAGTATCATACTTCTTATCCTGCTTCCTTTTCTACTACCTTCTATTGCTCTTCTTCCTTTTCCCTTTCTTTTGCTCTCAAATTGTCTTTACAATACTGTCCAGTCTTTGTGCTATGGAGAGAAGGAGAAACTACATCATTGACCTGAATTGGTCTTGTAATGAAAATGAGAAGCAGCAGAAATGTTGAATTAAGATTTGACATCATAGCACTCGGGATACTCCCATAAGCGCTCCGTCCCCATCTTCAGCAGCAAGCGAAGAGTTCCAATTCCGATGATACCAGTAATTGATGATTGTATATTCGTCTTGCCCTTCACCTGAGCGTTGAGCATGTGCCAGATCCCCTGGTAACTCCTCACAGTGCCATTCTCTCCAGATCATAATGATCTATCTGTGCCTCCGCACTGTTCACTCGCTCCCAAAGGGAAGCAGTTATGAGTTATAAGGCCCTGTCAACTGGTACTGACATCTCAATCCATTCCATGGAAGATTCTTTTTTATATGACCTGGTCTTGCAAGTCCCACTTGCCAAAAGCTGTGATTTGCATGCCTCCCTAAAACATACTGGAATACTATCATCTGGAAAGTGGGAAACGTGCCAAATACTCTAGTAACTCTATTTTAAAGTTGGCAGCCGCATCTTACATTTTTCTCAAAAAGTCAAGTGAAGGATCTGCAACATGTCATGAAAAGATATCAGAAAAGTAGAAACAACTACACAATATTACAAACACAAATGACAAGTGGAATGCTGTAGCTAGAAAGCTTTCATCAGCACATACCTAAATCTACAAAACCACAAATATGAACATAAATACAAAAAACCATTTAGCTGATGCATCTCTGAAAGAAATCACATTTATGTCTGGCCAGTAGAATATGTGACATGTGAAAAAAAATTTGCCCCAAAAAAGCTGTGAGTGACAAGGGCCGTAACTAGAAGATATGAGATAAAACTTTGTATGTTAAGTCCCCTAGGTGAACTGCCGCTATCATGTCACTAGTGATTGAGGTGTGCTGTACCCACAGTTTTACAGACCAAACAGTTCTTGATGGTTGATGTGGTCAACAATACACCAGCAATCTTTGCCACCTCTGATGGTCAGTTGCAATGGACCATGGTTTCATGCCTAAGGCCCGTATCCCTCATTTAAGTTCTGTATCCAGATCTTTCTTGATCTGCCTCTTTTCCTCTTCGAATCTACTGAGCCCTGTAGTAATGTTTTTGAGAGGCTGTTAGATGTGATTACATGTCTGTACCATTTCATTTTCACTGTAGTTAAAAAAGGTTCATAGCTGCCAATGCAACGACTGTCTTTAACTTAAAATTATTTAGAAAAATAACATATTTGAGCCCACAAAAAGTAAGTAAAAAAAAGTAAAGATCCCTTTTCATGCCTTTAGGTGCATCGGGTATATGGGAAAAGCGCTAATTTTTTTTCAGACTATCGGCAATAGGTGGGTAATGTGGTCAGCATTATGCCAGCTGTCTCTATTTCCCCAGGATAGCCATCCTGGTACCCATTTTAGGCTGGGTCGACCTGCGACGCCCCATACCACGATAAAAATCCACGCAGCCAGCGGTGGGTTTTGATCGCGGTACGTTGGAATTACGAGTCAGACTCGCAACGCCTAAGCCACGGACGCCACTCACAAAAAATAAACAATCTCTATAATAAGTCGCATGCTGCATTTTGAGCCCATAAAAAAGTAATAAATCAGGTGTATGATGCTAGACTCAACATTTTTCTTGACCAATTAGCACCCGGATGTGGCCCATCCTTATTTTCCTGCACATAATCTGGTACATTTTTAAGGCATGGTCAACCTGAGAGCAAAGGTCACTTTTGAACACAATACACCACAACATGGATATGAGCCCAAGACCTTCGAGCCATCAGGCGAGCATATAGTCACCATGCTGCCTCAGCTTCTACTGCGGGCATGACCGAAAAAATTAAAATGCTTTGGTGTACTTTACTGTATACAAAATCACGCCAGGGATCCTTTCTCATGCCATTAAGTGCACTGGGTGTACAGTGCTAGAACTATATTTTACAGACCATTTGGCACTCGGTGACCGACGTGCTCAACATCATGCCGGCCATCTTTTCTTCCCCTGATTTCACCTGGGACTAATTTTAAGCATGGTTAACCTGGATGTCAAGGTCATTAAATAAAAAAAGAAATCTAGTTCAATACAGATTGAACCTAAAACTTTCAGGCCCCAGGCAAGCATCTAACGCTATACAAAATCACGGCATACTGGTTTGTAGAAGCTATAGCATTCTTAATGAGTAAATACATATTAAAATGAAAAAACAAATTCTGATCAGTTTAAAACTACCAAGGTGGCACTGGCATTGAAACAATGGACTGTATGTTGTCTATTTTAGTTAAAATTCAGATCTCTGGGGTCACTACTCGGTTACCCTGCCCAGGTTGTGAGCAGTCTGTCACAGAAGTCGCACTGTTTTGAAACTTCCTACTCCACTCATACAGATGCTGGACTGACAGGCATACAACACCAGACTGGACCATCATTCGCTCATGGATTTCTATAGGTTTCACCTCTTCAATGGTTTTAAAAAAAAAAAAAGAAAAAAAAAAGATAACAGAACGCTGCTCCTCCTCAGTGCATGTCAAAAGTGAGGCAGCCATCTCTAAACTGTCATTATGACATCACTGTGTTCCTCTGCAGGGTGATGTCAGGTGCTGAATATTCTTAACAACTTTACTGACAGCTTAGAAAGAATGTCATGGTTATTGTGGTTTCTGTGATACTTTTCATTTGAATGAAGCCCCTAGTAGTTCTGTTGTAAATATCACACCAAATACAGCAATGTATGCCAACAATAAATTGTACATCTTGCTGTGTGTGTCCTCTTTATTCTAACTTCTTTTAATGTTTATCTATAACATAATTACATGACTTTTAACTTTTTATTGTTAAAAGGGAGTCAATTATTTGAACAGTGATTTGGCAAATATTATTTGTGAGCACCAAACTACTGAACATAAGACTGTCGAATAAAACCACAAAGATAATGTTGAATGTTGAATTAAGAATCAACATCACAGCACTCGGGACACTCCCATATGAGCTCCACCCCCATCTTCAGCAGCAAGCGAAGAGTTCCAATTCCGATGATACATAAACAGTCTGACTGTGTATCCATCTCGCCTTTCCCTTGAATGAGTTGAGTTATGAGTTAGATTATCTTCACAGCACTCCGGACACATCCATAGGCGCTAAGATTTCCCTCTCAACATATTCATCAGCGTCGTGCGGTTAATACTACCAGTCCTATGTTGGTTAAAAAGACTTTGTGTGCGTCCAGTGTGCTTCTCATGCTTGGCTGTGCAGATCTTTACTCCCAATTCACGTATTCTTAGAAGTGATGTGGACACGCTGCTTCCAAAATCCTCAGAACATCCTATCTCTCTTAGGGCAATGACGATGTCTGCGTGATCCATGGGCTGGCCATTTTCAATTATTGCATTACCTGCCAGTCTATCAGCTCTCTTATTACCAACAACGCCTGCATGCCCTGGGACGAATATGAAAGTAACTGCACACACAGGATAATTTTGCAATGACTCTAGCCACTGTCTGCGTAACCAGCCTGCCTCGACCTGTCGGATCATGCTCAAAGAATCACTCAGCACACACACGCAGGAATAGTCCTGTGATCCCAGCCACATGAAAGCCTTGAATATTGAGTGTCGGCCAGATCCCCCTGTTACTCCTCGCAATGGCATTCTCCTCAAACCGCAACCACAAATAGAAATTAAATGCAAGGACTGAAGCGGATATACGGTTAACTATTCTACACAATGTATGTTCAGAAAAATCAATATAATTCACTGCACAACCAAGTGTACAAAACAAAGTTATTTGAATTTAAAAGCGTCTACATGTGTTCATAAAAAAAAAAAAGCCAACATGCTGAAATAAAACTTCATAATAAAAAAGGAACCAGCATTACTAACCAGTCGTAGCTCTTTCTGTCCCAAACAACACCTGATGTGTGACAATCTATAATTTGTGTGTACCAAACAATGGATGGTGTATTAATATGTCATTTATATTTGTTCACAGAAAATTAATAACAAATGACTACTTCTACACAGCATGTTGCCTGTTAGAAAGTAATGTTTTTTCAGCATGGCTTTTGTCTTTCTTCTGCTGTAAGCTGGGGACCCGAAATAGTTAATGAGGTTGTCAAATCTTGAACATATGCTCATCTCTAGTTCAGTTTTTTGGTCACATGACTGTGATCACCAGCAGATTTCTCCCTTTCAACAAATTTCACGCCAGGAGAAGAAGCAGATTTTCCATTGGTGATGTGTTTACTTGTTACTGTTCCATTTGATTCAACTTTGCCAGACTGCTGGGGGAAGCAAATTGCAATTGATATTATTGTCATCATTTAGCATTACCATTTTGTTTTTATACCAACAATGTGTTACCAGTGCTAAATATGGACATCAGCAACAAAATGAAGAAAAAAATAATCAAAACAATAAAAATGAAACGTCTGTGATGATTCCTAAATGTAACAAGAAGAGACAGAACAAGAAATGACAATATCAGGAAACAAGCTAGGACTGAACCAGTACTAAACAACACAAGGAAACAATTTAACTGGTGGGACACGAAACAAATTAAAACAAATTAACTGGTTCTGAAAGGTGTCAAGACTACCACAAGATAGAACCCCGTCTCTTATACACAGTAGAAGCAGAGCTAGAGGTCGCCCAAGCAAGTGATAGATAGATGGAATGTCCGAGGCCTTGAATACCTGCATCTACAGAGAACTCACTAAGGATCGCACTAGCTGCCTCTTCAAAACTGATGCTGGAAGGCCAAAACAAGGTTACAGAAAAGAAACAAGATGGATTACCATTCCTCAAAGAGAAGTTCCATTTTTGTGTCAGAACATGTAGATGTAAAAGGAAAGGAACAAGCTGACAGGCTAGCAGACAGGGTTACTGTTTTGGCCAGTCAAACAAAGGACCAGGCTAACACACTGAATATTCTATGACACACATATTTGCATGAATCAAGTGACGACTTAATATCATGACCACACTGCTCCTCAAACATCTAAACAGAACAGACAGACACGGTTTTTCGCTTATGCACTGGCCATTGTAGACTCAACAAACACTCATATAAATTAGGTAGGAGCCAAAAAAGCTCTCTGCCAGTGTCTTCATGCTGAACAGACTCCAGAACATGTCTTGCGGAAGCAACATGTAACAACACCCAGTAGACCTGACAACTAAGCGTTGGGGAAACCTAAGAGACCTTGAGATGACATCCCAGTTTATGACCCACACTGAAATATGAGCATGATAGAGATCGCTGAAGATGAAGATCACACTGCAAAATCTGCAACTCAAAGGGATGAGGAAAGACAAAAGAACTGAAAAGAAAAAAAAAATAATATAGAACTGGTGTTGTCAACTACTACCTGATGGGGGTCTACTGAGGACAAGCTCACCTAATCTGGACTACAGGATCTTTGTAACCATTCTGTGGTGTCCCAGTATACCTGTGCTATATAGGTGAACCAGGTTCCCAGGATTTTTACCTGTATGTTTCTTATCCTTGGGATGTTAATCCTGTAGGCTGCAATCCTGCCCAAACATAATATACACCCAGGAGGGGATCTAATGAATGATGGATTGATTGCGGTAACGATGATCTGTCGACTAACTTACCATCTCTCATTCTCCTATTTGAATATAAATGGCACCATTGTAATAAAAACTGAACTATGAATTTTCTAATATAAATAACATCATGCTTTATATATTTATCTTGCTCAATTTTTGTATGTGCAATTTATGACCATATGAGTGAATACTGATGGAAGTTACACTGTTAAATGAAATATATGTAAGGTTTGAATTTGGAATAAAGTGTGGATCTTGAGAGAAAGGACAAATGGGAGGAAGAATACGACGTGTGCACAAACAATCAGCATCTACATCTTATGACATTTGCTGTGGGAGACAAAGCATCTATACGTAAGCCCAGTATGCTATGATTTTGACTGATAAATCATTAATCTGTACAAATAAAGCTCTCAAAGAAGGTTTTCAGTGTGGTCTATACAGCTGTGAGGATCAAATATCCACCAGGTTAAGTGGACACCTCTGGGGTGCCCTCTGCTGTTAGCAGGAGCATCACAGAGCAGGGCACTCACTTTCCCTGGCAATCTAAAAGGTTGCTGAAGGATGAGGACATAGTCTAAAGCAATGTGGATGTGGAAAGCAAGAAAAAATTACCACATTATTACCCCAAGAAACTTACGGAAGCTAAAAATAAGCTTCTGAGCAAAAAACGCTAAAGAAAGATTCTAAGAATGATATAGACAAGGAAGAAAAGAAATACTAACATTCTAAAAGATCTGACATCAAGGAAGGCTGGCTAATAAACAGCATCTTGTCTCGAAACTGAAATATTTTGGCCATATCAAGCACCTTGGCAGACTGGAACAAAATAATAGCAGATGCATGGAACCAGGAAAGAGGGGCAGGGGTTGACTACAAAAATGGGCACAGGATATAAGTGACTCCTTGGATATAAAAGTGTACGAGGCAAGAGACAGTTTTTTTCAGGTAAACTGTGATGAGAGTGAGGTTCTACAAAGGACCTGCCACATGATAATGATGATGATGATGATGACAAAGGCTGTTTGCATGCTGTTCAATCCCTGCCTCTCTTCCCATAAACCACGTCCTGAATTACACTGTTCTTTCTCAATCACCATTGCATTTATTAAGGCCAAAGTTTTTCAGTTTCCCAGACATAAAAATGTTCATAAGCCAGCTTTCTTCAATGATTAGATCCTGTGGAGTGTCGGTATTTTCTTCTTCCTCAACATGATCTTCTTCTTCTTCCTCATGTTTCTGTGTGTTTTCCTTTATATTTAAAACATGTATATTGTCATATGAATATAACAAGCTAATATGATAAAATACAACTGCTGTGTGGGAAAGACAGGTGTTTGAAAGGGCCGAATGTAAGACAGGCCTGCACGCCCAATTTGTGACCCTTTGAAAATAAAGTTTGTTTTGTTCTTTTTCTTCTGCTTCTTCTTCTTTATATACACCAGCTGCAAACTGTGGCAGAAAGTTCCAGCTGTTCGTCCCCTTCTGAACTTCAGTCTTATTTCAGAACATGAGCTTTGCTTGCACATCCATTTTACAGACCCATCTTTTTTGTAAGCTTTTTTGTAAGCCAACTGTTGGTTGGTTCCTTGCATCTCATGCACTCCACCTTCAAAGAAAACACCCGTAATAATTCAACTTCTACGACATGCTTGTTAGAGAGGCAGTGGGTACATTCTTTTTTTTTTCCAACTTACAATGGAGCCGCGGAACCCACACACGGACACCTAAAACAAAACTCTCCAACATCTTTTCTCTTGGTCTACCCAAGCTCTCATCCACTCTAACCTTTCCATTGTTCCAAGGTACTTTAGTCACCCACTCTCATCACATGCATAATATTGTGGAGTGACTTGTTTGGATGCAGATAAGGAGTTACAGGGTAAGCAGTTATCATACATGTTTAGAGCAAACATCTATCAAATAAGCCAATAGTTATTCTGTAACTATATGATGCTCCAAAATGGCTGAAGACGGTTTTTGGCAACAGCTGCTCTGGAATTTGCAATTGAAAAATGGATTCATGAGCCACCCAGTGTCAATCTTTCAGGCAGTAATCGAGAAGGGGAAATTCTATTTTTTTTTTTAAATCATCATACATATTCGCATATAAATAAGCACACAGCTCTAAAGAGAATGTGTTTCTGATCTTTGCATATAAAAAAAAGGAGGGGGGATAAAAAAAAAAAATATGGGCAATAATATCTAATGAACAGTTAAAGTTGAGAGGAACCATTTCACTGCATTGGGTTTTATTATATTTGGCTCAGTCTCTCTCAGCAGAATGGCTAGCTGCCTGCCAAGAGTGTCACACAAGTATGACCTTTGTAGCTCTGTAACGATCCCCAGGGTCTTCATAAAATGAACGTTGCAGCTGTGAGACAAACCCATGACCTTCAGAGGGCAAGGCAAACGGTTCAACCACTTTGCCATAGAGACCCCCCCATCCAAAAAAATATATAAATAAGCAAATAAAAAACAAACCACTTACTTTGCTCTTCTGTGACTTAAGATAAGCATGGAAGTAAAAGTTAAGGAATAGCAGCAAGATTGTGAAGGCATAAAAGATGAGTGCCCAATGCATCCACTCGGGGAAGCCACACCCGTTGTAAACCAGAGATTGTAGGGCATGGGTTATCCCCGTTACAAACTGAATCTGGTATTTATAAAACATGATAAAAACATCATAGATCCATTTGAACAATGAGATTATGTGTACAGAGGCAAAATATGTTGCCAGGCAAAACAGATGTGCCATATCCAAATTAGAATGATCAACACACACAAATCCATAGAAATTGTTTTATTAAATATTTGCGAGGTGTTCAAGAACCATTTCAACAATTTATAATAAGCCATATTGATATATTTTCATCAATGTATCATCATGTATGCCAGGTTTTGAATTACACATATTTAAAAGAGTTTTGAATAAAATAACGAATTTAGATTAAAATAAATGAAAAACAGCATTTTTGTAACCAAAATAACAAAAATCCCGTGGAAAAATCCATCACGTTGCATCAGATCAGACCCAATCAGCAGCCAGTCCCACACAAGGCCCATTTTGATCACAAATGGTAGACAACGGCGATGTTGCAAGGGAAAGGGGAAATAACCAGGAGAAAAGAAACAAAAATACATTAATATTCAACAAGAGTAGTTTACCTTGTTAGCGAGTAAGTTTCCTGTGGTTGAGGTTGCTTTTGGTTTGGCGATGTAAGCTTGCACATAGAAGTTGATAAAGAGAATGACGATGGTGAACCCGTAAAACATTCCTGTCCACACCATCCACATTGGATAAATGCACTCCACGAAAAGAGCATAAATGCCGAACACAAAACCTACAAAGAACTGAAGCTGAAGAAAGAAGATGGAGAAAACCAATGGAAGCACAAGTTACACTCAAATGCCTTAACATGTTTAGATCATCTTTAAGAAATACCCAAACAACGGGTGATTTAAAGAATTCACAGGTAATTAGAAGTGGGAATATAAACACACAGACAATTAAATTACAGAAAAAAAAAAAAAACTGTTCATTGACTGTGGAGTCCTAAACACTACTGGAACATAAAGTGCAAAGAGCAATGAAGAAATAAGGATTCACACCACAACATAAATAAATATTTAGCAATGCTTAATATAAGATGGAAGGATCAAATCTAGTACCTTGATGAAATAAAGACAAATATGGAAATCTACTAATACAAACTATCAGCATTTCAACAAAACTCTACACTTACGTTTATATAAGGATAAAATTTGCAAAGAAAAAAAGGCAGACATAAAGAAAACACCACAATAAGGAAAAAACTGATTTTTTTCCCCCATAGCCTCAATGATAGATGTCACAGGGTCATGGCATGAGTCACCTGATCTATATTTTTGGACCCTGGGGAATGTATTCCATTTAAAGCTTCATCCTGGACATGTCTTTTGACCACTTCCTTTATATATCTTGAAATATATATTTTTTATTTAACTTTATTTGTTTTAATTTTTATTAATAATTTAACTGTGTAAAATTGTCTTTTCTTAATCCAGACTTTTGTGTGTGAGAATTCTCACGGGGTCATGACCCATTTTGTTTAGAGTTCCCATGACAACAGGGTTAGGATGTTAGTGAGTCACATCTGTTTTTATTTTTTGACTACTTAAAGGGGTCTTCTTTATTTTATTATATTTTCCAGAACTTATTCATCTGCTAATTGTTCAATCTTGCTAGTTCTTGTCATTTTTAAGTACTACTTCATAAAATATATTTTTTATTTGAATCTATACATCAGACCCATATTTTTAAAATAAAATCAAACTATAGTTTTAAATGTTAGAATTTAACGATTTTCTGTTTGTCTCTCTTTGCTAATGTAAGAAAGCAATTCATCTAAATCATAACTGTTAAATTATATCTTAATTCACATTATAAATATTATTTATTTTGAAAAAAATGTTTAGCATTTTATATATTTATTTCGAATTCTACTGAACAAAGGAGATAATTCTGTATCTCAGGATGCCTACAAACAAGAAAAAGTTATTAAAATTAGCTACTTGTGAATGAGTTACCATGGCATGGCTGCGTAAAATGTTGTTTTTGTTTTGTTTTTTCTCATTTTTTTTTTTTTAAGTTATTCTGCAGTAGTGGCAAAAGCAGCATGGACTATTCTATTAACCATTTTACTACATCATCTTCCCGTGTGGGTTTCCAGGCAAAACAGGAAGAGACTCACTGCAACAAGCATGTCGTAGGAGTCGACTAACTGGGGGACATCCTTTGAAGTTGTACATTTGCCTGAGAGGCCAGAAACCACAAGTCTGCACACAAATAAGCCAGATCTGTGAAACAGATGTGTATGCAGCACTCAGGTTCTGGAACAAGATGAAAGTCCGGAGTTGGACAAACACCCAGAGCTTTTCGCTGGAGTTTACAGCCAGTGAAAGCAAAGAAGAAGAAGAAGACTATATCTTCATGTTTAGAAATTATGTTACAACACTTACTTTGAGGATTATACTTTTACAATGCTGATATATGTAATAAAGATGCTCAAAAGTTCCACATTAGCAGAAAGCAGCACAGCCAGAAATGTGATCGACAATGCAAGACAATATTACTCAAGAAAATGAAACAAGAAAAACAAAGGAAATGTGACCCCAAAAAAACACAGTAAACATCAAACTCAGCAATTAAAAAAAACATTATACTAATAAACAACAACACAGAAATTGCTCAGAAACATAGGATCTGACAAATCAAATCAACAAGCCTTTTATACACACTATTCTTAAACTGGAAAACAAAGGACATACAGATCATAAGGTGCACAAAAGAAGCAACCAAAGGTCAACCAAACTCAGGGCAGCCAACCACAGGTGAACTATCAAATACTCATACTCCAGCTGTATCTACTATTTCAAATTATATCACTCAACATAGACTATTTACAAAAATCTAAGACATGCGGGATCCTCACAGAATTTCAGGCTAAGATCTTCTGAAGCATCTTCTATGTGCAAGAATACACCCCGCCAAATAGTGCTCAGTGAGTTTATAAGATGACAACCAGAAACACATCAACCATTTTCTACATCAAGCAATTCATATATCAAAATCCTGTTTGGAATAAAAGTGTGCAGTGTTCTTTAATTATTCTATAATTTTCTTCATTTAAAATGAATGTAACATGCTTTTCAAATGAATATGATGCACTCATTATATGAAATTATGTGTTCTTCAACTAAATTAACTTGTTCTTAGAATAAATGTGACAAATTTTTTTAAAAATTCCTCAAATGGATGTGACTCGTGAAAGTATGCTTTAAATGAATACCTTAAAATATGATGGAAATTACAGTAACAAAGTAATTGGCTCACAATACTGTTGTAAAGGATGTCAAGTGCAGCAGCCATCTTAAAGCTGTCATTATGACATCATAGTGTTTGTCTGTACCGTGATGTCACACACCTGACACTCATGACATCCTTAACAACAACACTGACAGGTGACAATACCAACTGATAGTACCCTATGTGTGTGTTGTGAGGCCCCATTGTGGGGAAAACCAGAACACACCAACTGCCTCCTCAGCAAGCCTGTCGTAAGAGCCCACTAACTGGGAAAGGTCAGGAACCAACAATCCGTATACACATAAGTCAGATCTGTGAAGCGGATGGGCACACAACACTCAGGTTCTCAAACAAGCCTAAAGTCTAGAGGGATCAAACAACTAGAACTCTCTGCTGCAGTTTACAGCCGGTGAACGCGAAGAAGAAGAAGAAGAATGGTATGGTTATTGTAACTTCTATCACACTTTTAAAATTTTGATTTAAAGCCCCTTCATAGACTGAAGCCAGAGAATCAAGGGTCTCAAAACAACACATTCTCCTTATGAATTAAAAAAAAATAAACAAATTAGAACACTAACAATATATTTAAGAATGTATTGCCTGGCATGTTTTAGTGGTAGCTGGTGACATGTATTTCAGTGAAAAATATTCATTATTTCTGCTTCTTTATGTTTTGATGTAGATCAGGGTGTTTCAAATGATGGCCCAAGGGCCTAATCTGGTCCACAGAGGTCTGGCAAGTAGCCAACAATCACTGCCAATTGCACAGTATTAATGATGTTTCGTTGCTGGGACTCTGGCCCATGACGATCTTTCTTTTAAACATTTTGGCCTCTAAATAGCCCTGATGTAGACTAGTAAAATGTAGGAATATAATGTACATTGGTTGTGGTAACTGTTCAGTGTGTTGTGAGTAGCCATTGATGAAAGTGTTGTCAGTTGCTTGCTGCAGATATTGAGATAATGTATCCTTGCTTGCTAAAGATAATGAACAGCTGTTTGCTGCAGATAATGTGATGGGGGTGGGAAGGGGGGGTATTGGCACTGCCCCCTTAACAAGCATATAGTAATAGATGACAAACTGGAGGATGCTGAAATCTGATGTGCCAGACACCCAGGAGAGCTGGACAGATGGTCAAGATCATCACAGGTGGATGCAGATTTTTTCAAATACAATTTTCTATTAAAAACTAAATTTTTTTTATTGGAAATTACCTACTTTACCTTACCCCCCCCCCCCCTTCCAAAAAAAAACTACTCTCTCTTTTTAAAATCTACTTTACTAAACTAAAACTATTGTATCTTACAGTAATGTTTTTTTTACTTTTTTTTATTTTCTGTCAGTTTTCTTCTCGTTCTTCTGTATTCGCCCTTACAAGAGCGGTTGATCCGCTGTGTTGGGATTTACAGCTAGGCAGCAATATCTCCACCTTTCAGCCCAACACATCCCATTGCAGCCAACACCTAATTATTAGTCAAAGTTGCTAGCATGAGAGATCATCCAATGAATTCTCACAGGTCTATAAACATTAGCCTAGCACCTCTTCTTCTTCTTGTCATTCACGGGCTTTGAACTCCGGGCAAAGTTCTGGCTGCTCGCCCAATTCTGGACTTTAATCTTGTCCTAGAACTTGAGTTTTGCAATCACAGCGGTATCACAGATCTGGCTTATTTGTATGCAGACTGTTGTTTCCTTGCCTCTCAGGCAGATGCACTCCCCTTTGAAGGAAACGCCCTAAAACTGGTTGACATTTACGACAGGGGGACAGCGTGTCTACTCTTCCCCTCCCCTCGACAACTGGACGTGGGAACCCACTGAATGGTCTATAAAAATATGGGTTTAGCACCATATGTCTAATGTTGTAAAAAACAACCCTTGTTTTTTTTTTAAAACTTTAAATATAATACTAAAATAAATATAACAGATGCTTAAATGACTCAACACACACAAGGACCACTGACCAGCTGAAGACTTGTAAGGTAGCGCTTCCACCACAAAAATTTCTGATATTTTGGTCCCATTGCAGAAATTCCGTAATAGGTGTACATGATGACATGGATGAACGAATTTATCATTGCGCCAAAGAAGGCTGAAAATTACAGAGAATATCTCTATTACTGTGAGAGTTGTAGCATGAATCAATGAATGTGTCACTGCTCCAAAGAAAGCTGAAAATTACAGAGAATATCTCTGTTACTGTGAGAGTTGTAGCATACATCAATTAATGTATCACTGCTCCAAAGAAAGCTGAAAACTACAGAGTAGAGAGTATATCTCTATTACTGTGAGAGTTGTAGACAAAAATCAATAAATTCATCATCGAACCGAAGAAAGCTCAAGCTTACAGAAACTGTCTTTTTTATTGTCAGAATTTTAGATATGAAAGAATGATTTTATCATTGTCTCAAAGAAAACTCAAAATTACACAGAATATCTTCATTACTGAGAGTGTTTTAGAAATGAATCAACAAAATTATAACCGCACCAAAGAAAGCTAAAACTTGAAGAAATTGTCTTTATTATTGCCAGAGTTTTAAACAAGAATTTGTCATAGCATCAAAGAAAGCTAAAAACTGCAGAATTGTCTTTACTGTTTAGGAATTTTATACAGGTATCCGCTGTTTTGTGAAATTTTAAAATAAAATTTTCCATTACAGTAATTACCGCAAGAAGCAGTGTATTAGCCAAGTTTTTAAGCCTAAAAATATCTTTCTAAAAAGAAGGGGTTGACTGGTATAAATTGCAAATAGCAGAAATAAACCTAACTCAGAATTCTAGGCTACAAATCTTGAAGTCAACTTGTATGCTGCAACTTATAATGGTCGGCTCTCTGGCTTGAAGGTTTGAAAACATAACAAGCCAAGGTTCGATTTGCATGACGGGCAATTTCTTCTTCTTCATCTTAGCGATCACTGACTGTAAACTCTTAGTAAAAGTTCTGGTTGTTCGTCCACTTCTGGACAGTTGCCTTGTTCTAGAACTTGAGATCTGCGGGCACATCTGTTTTACAAATCTGGCTTATTTGTATGCAGGCAGATGCACCCTGACTTTTGAGGAAAACACAAAAGTCGCCATTTACGACATGCTTGTTAGGGGCTGAGGCTCTATTCTTTTTTCCCCAAAATGGGGCCCTGGAACCCACATGAAAAACTTGCAGTTTGGAAGGGAAAAAAAAGACCATTTTCATAGTACCAGAGCCAAACAATGAAAGTTGTTGTTGTTGTTGTCGATATCGATCAAGCGACGCATGAGCTTTCGCCCTTTGGCCCAATGCCATGTAGTGGAATTTGCATTTTTTCACAAGCTGTTCTTTTCCTCCGTACAAAGTGTTTCACTTGTCTGGTCTCGGAGGGAGTAGCATTCTTCCAGTCTCGCTGAGTTTAAGCAATGAAAGAGATCAGGGCAGGGCTATTCCTCAGAGGCCAATATTTTGAAAATGGGGACCATCTCAAGCCAAAGGTACGAGTCCTAGCATAGAAAGGTCATTAATACAATACAGCCTGCACTGATCTGCGGGCCACTAGCTAGGCCTCCATAGATTAGGCTCTAAACACATAATATCCCAAAAGACAGCACTGGTTGCAAATATCAGCCACAGCCAACTTCCAATGTGGAGATCGGACAATTTGTTTCATCTTCTGCGACTGTCACTCTTCAGTGATGATAACTTGCCATGGAGGCACTGGACACTAGCAAATAGCCAAAAGGAAGAATCATGGGATCAGCTGAGGGGAAGATTAATGGCATCAAAATAGGGGAATACATGACATTAGAAAGACTTGTGGCATCAGAAGAAAGAGAAACTTAAGGTACAGATGAGAGGAAGACTCATGGCATCAGTAAAGGGAAAGACATAGCATTAGCTGAGACAAAGACATGGCATCAGAAAAAAGAGAAGCGTAAGGTATAGATGAAGGGAAGACTCATGGCACCAGCAGAGAGGAAGAATGGCATCAGCAGAGGGAAAACATCACATCATCAGAAGATGAAAAGGAGTCATGACATCAGCAGAGGGAAAAACGCCACACTGTCAGATTATGAAAAGGAGTCATGACATCAGCAGAGGGAAAACGCCACACCATCAGAAGATGAAAAGGAGTCATGACATCAGCAGAGTGAAAACATCACACTATCAGAAGATGAAAAGGAGTCACTGATCACACAGGGAAAACTATCACCATCAGAAGATGAAAAGGAGTCACTGATCAGCACAGGGAAAACGTCACACCATCAGAAGATGAAAAGGAGTCATGACATCAGCAGAGGGAAAACGTCACACCATCAGAAGATAAAAAGGAGTCATGACATCAGCAGAGTGAAAACATCACACTATCAGAAGATGAAAAGGAGTCACTGATCAGCACAGGGAAAACGTCACACCATCAGAAGTTGAAAAGGAGTCACTGATCAGCACAGGGAAAAGGTCACAACATCAGAAGATGAAAGGGAGTCATGACATCAGCAGAGGAAAAACATTACACTGTTAGAAGATGAAAAGATGCATGAAATCAGCAGAAAAGAAGACTAGCCACAAACAAAAACTTTACCAAAAATAAATTAGGATGTCAACTTACACTGCCCTCCTGCCACCCACTTGACTCCAATATACCAAATTGGAAACATGGTTGCGTGGTGGTAGACATGCAAGAAGCTCACTTGGCTGTTCTTCTTCCGCAAAATGAAGAATATTGTATCTAACATCTCCACACACTTGGAAAAATAAAACCACCATATAGCTTTTGCTATCTGTTGACAAACACAAAAGAAGAGGCAGTGTAAACAAAGAAATATGTTTCTCTTTTTGGATCCATAAATATATAGCAAAACACCTCTAACACGAACTCACTTAAGAAGAACACACTGTAAACAGAAACAATATTTCAGTCCCAGCTGGGATCAATTATTATTTTTAGTCCCCAGTAAGCAAAAGCATTTTTTTAAACACAAACTTATTGTAAAGAATCCACGATATACTTTTGACTGGAGTTTCAAACCAAACAACACAAGCCACCAGTTTCTATTTTTTGAAGCAAACTCTGTAAGTCAGTTACAAATACAGCAGTTCATGATATACTACTCCTCAGCCATCAGAAAGCTACTGTTACTGCTTCCACCTCCATTCTCATGCCAGATGTGTGACGTCGTATGGCCTCTTTCTGACATTCAATTAAAACAACCCCATTCTAAGATGATTTTTGTCTCCTGCTCCTGATTTCTGCCTCACATCTTTCATCTTTGTTTACTTTCAGCAAGAATTGTTCTTTTTACAGCGGGTTGTGGATGTGTGAAGGGGGGAGGGGAAAAGGCTTGTTGATGTGTTCTTGATTTTTTCAAGAAAAGTTTTTTCTTTAAACTGTCTAATCATCTTCTTCAGCACTCTGAGCTCTTAAGGGTCATTGCTACAGTCATTAGTTACCTCCATTCATCTATGTGATTTGCTTTCTCTTTCCAGTTGGTCCCTGCAGGTGTTTGTAAGTCTGCATGCATATTATCTCTCAACTCTATTTCAGATAATGCATCTGTTTTTTGTTTTTTTTATTTTTTATTTTATTTAGTAACCTAATGATCCCCAAAAGAATGTATCAAATCTTGTGCTCGAACACTCTTAAGGTAAATTTAAAAGTTTAACCCCAGCTTCAATGCATCAGGTTTTATCTTAAATGGTTCTGTATATCTCAGCAGTATGGCAAGCTGCATGAGCAACACATGAAGCATGACATTCCTATCTTTAGCAACAATAATCATGTAATTTTGTGAAACCTGCACTCCAGAACTGAATGATGCAGCACACGGAACAAGGTACAAACCCATAACCTGCACAGCATGAATCAAACAACTCAACCACTGAGCCACAGATTCGGCTTGGGGCCTATGGGTCGAATATGGTCTGCTGAGGCCTAGCAATTGGCCCATGGATCATTATAATTATTGATCTCTCTAGGGCTTAGGTCTCTGCCAGTGACAATCCCTATTTTTAACATTTCGGCCCCTGAGTAAACTTGGCTGACTAGTCCTGATCTATGCTACAATGAAAGGCTTTAAGAAACCTATCTTGTTATCTTCCTCTTTTTTTCCCTAAAGAACAGTAATTATTAACAATGATACATGAATGCACTTACCCTCATTTCATACGGGTCATATGTGTAGCTAACTGGTTGACAAGAATAACTGTAGCCTAGCTTCCATGAGCAAATAAATAACTGAAAATGAAAATAGAAAATCAAACTTATGTAGGTGATTAGTGATTAGAAAGGCGTATCATCACAACACTCAGGACGGATCCATAGGTGCTCTGATCTCCTCCTCAAAAGCTCCACAAGTGTAAAACGACTGATGATGCCAGTTCTGTGTTGGTTAATGAAATGTCTTGTCCTCTTAGTGAAAAGTTCATTTCTTGCAGCTCCAGTCCATCAGTCTAGACAGGGATATGGAGTCATATCCTTTGGCGTGCTCCTCGGTACGGTAAGAGCAGCCCATGGCATTCACTTCACGAATAGCTGCCCTAACCTTCATATTTGTGCCAGGTCATGCGAGTGTTCAAGAAAACGAGTGTGCAGACTATCTTGCTAACACTGCGGTTGTTATGGCTGGTCCAGTACTGGACAGAAGTGATATAATCAAACTGATGTAGGTGTGTGGTGGTTGCTATCATTGGCGTGGTGCTGCTAGCACTGTATACATACTTTACCAATCAGGACAGCAAGGCATAAACACAAATTAGGATCCAAGAAAGGTAGCTGGATATGCACACCAAACTTTCTCCCCAAGACTGGCTTCATCATCTCGCAAGAGAGGGGTCAGTGTATCACATTCAGACTAAGGACAGGGCCCAACAGACTTTGTAAATAATGTTCAAGTCTTGAAAGGTTGGCGTAGTATGTTATGATGTGTGGTTTACAGCTCGGCTGGAATATCTGTGCCCTTTGGCCCAACATAACTGCTTTCAGTAAACCCCTAATTAACTCTATTTTGCGACCTGCCTTTAAGAGGGCAGTGAGTCTAACCCCCCCCCCCCCACCCCAAAATAAGGCCCCAAACCCATACAAGAAAAAAAGCAGATAAAAGGTTTTACTCACCTCTGTGCATATATGCAAATTCATAAGAACACACAAAAAGTTGTATATAACCAAGGTGTAATTCAGGTTGATCGGTGGCCGTTTCTCCATGACCTTTGGCCCTATGTAAACGGCCAGCAAATAGAGGGCTGTAATCAACAGAGTCGGGGTGTACCCCCACATCAGGGGCCAGTCGGCCACACGTTTGTCTGTGAAATAATTAAAAATAAACAGCAAAGTGGGATGAAACAAATAATACACATAGGAGCAACAACACAGAAAGAGTAAAGTACTCTCTTTACACTTTTGGCGCATTGGGATATAGTCATTATCTCCATCACTGTCCTGCTGTGCCATTGTATATCACACAGGGTTGAATGTTGAATTAAGAATTGACATCACAGCACTCCGTCCCCATCTTCAGAAGCAAATGAAGAATTCCAATTCCAATAGTACCAGTAACTGTCTGATTATATATCTGTCTCGCCTTTCTCCTGAGTGTCGACAAGACCCCCTTGTAACTCCTCGCAGTGCCATTCTCATGAGACTGTAATGATCTATCTGTGCCTCAGCACTGTTCACTCGCTCCCAATGGGCTCTCACAATATCCAGCTTGTCATACATCAGTTCGCCACCAAGTGGTGCAGAACTGGCCAGTCTATCTGCCTGCTCATTTTCCAACACACCGGCATAACCTGGAGAAAATATCCAAAAGATGCTAACTATCCGGGACCTTTAAAGTGATGCTTGCCACTCTGCACGGAGCATGCCTGTCTCCACCTTTCTCAACATGCTCTGTGAGTCAATTACAATGACGGCATGTGTGTTCAGCTGATTCACACAGGGTTCTCAGTACATTCCTCCATTGATCTATCCTGTGCAATGCCTTCGACATCATGGATCCACTCCAGAACCACTGGCTTCTCATGTCAACGCTCATTTTAGGGTTTGTTTTTAATGTCCTTGCTTCCTAGCTTATTTTTTATTTTAGTGTTTTGTTTGCTGACTCTTTGATCGCATCTTATCAGGGGGTATCCAATATAGCGCCATCTTTTTTGTCTCATGACTGTTTTTACATTGTGATATAGTCCTAGTTTCTTTTTTTCTTTGAGAGCAGTAGCAGGATAGAGGGGTGTACAACAAGGATGTGTACTGTCACCTGATTAATTTTCACTATACAGTGAATATATAATGAGATCTTAAACTGATTTGACAGGAATTGTGGTTGGTGGGCACAATTTAAACAATCTGCGTTATGCTGATGACACAGTCTAGATAGCAACAAGTCAGAAAGAAACTACAGGAAATGATAGACATTGTGGTGGTAGAAAGTGGAAGAATGGGCCTCAGTTTGAATAATGGAAAGACAGAAGTAATGGTGGTATCAAAGAAAAGAATTATTCCTAAATGTGCAATAAAAGTCAATGGTGTTATTTTGGGACAGGTACAGAAATTTAAGTATCTGGGCACAAGGATAACATCAGATGGAAGATGCATTACTGAGATAAGAAACAGAATAGGACAGGCAAATACTGCATTTTATTAAATGAAGAACATCTTATGCAATATATCTTTGTCATTGAGGGTTAGAAAAAGAATTCTTGCTTTCTACGTACATCCAGTTTTAACATATGGCTGTGAGTCCTGGACAATCGGTTGGCAGGCCAAACACTTTCTTGAGACCTCAGAGATGTGGTTTTACAGAAGAATGCTTAAAATACCTTGGACAGCCAAAAAGAGCAACCAAGAGGTTTTGAGAGAGGCGGGAGCCCGAAGACAACTAATCACAGACATCAGAAGGAAACAGTCATCATTTTTCGGCCATGTTATGAGAAGAGGGAAAATGGAACATGTTGTAACCACTGGAAAGATCTGTGGAAGGAGGGATAGAGGAAGACAACAAGAGAAGATGCTTGACAGTCTTGTTGCGTGGCATGGAGGTGCGTCAGCACACGAACTAATACATGCTGATGGAGATCACAGATTGTGGAGAAGCATGATTGCCAATGCCAGCTGGCAAGGCACCTCACGATGAGGAGCAGGATAGTGGTTAGATATTTGCCCGTAGGTCCGAAGGTCTTGAGTTTAAACCCACAGCAAGCAGATTGATTGGTGGGGGGGGGAATCCTAGGTAAACTCAGTCTAAAATGGATACCGGGAAAAGTCATGGAAAGAAAAGGAGGTAGCATGATGCTGATGATATTAAGAGTGCTGACTGATCTGTAACTGGTCTATAAAAGCGAGTCTAACATCATATGGCCTGTGCACCACCAGTGCATTTACTACCACTTTTATTAGGTTTTTATTGACCAAGGTCAAAGCAACATGCTCAATACTGAACTAGCCACCTATATGTCCCAGGACATTATTTGGCATTCACTTCTGGCTAGGTTAGCCTGAGAACCAAGGAAAATTTGTTCTCTCAAAAACCACCTCAATGTTGATTTGAACCCAAGATCTTTGAGCAGGCAAGCGTCTAGCAACTATACTATGGCAGCTCCCACAGAAATAAGCAAAGGACCTTTTTGTTTTACGTTTGTGCACACCAGACATATGATGCTTAACTAATCATTACTCGGTGGGTGATGAGGTCAGACACAGGTAGCCACTTTTACTTCCTGGTACATTAGATTTCACTCATTTTAGGCTGCGTCGACCTGGAAGCCTAGATTATTTTTTTTTTGTGGTGACATTCTGACTTAGTGTTGATCTGAACCAAAATCCTTCAAGCCGGCAGACAAGGCTCCGAAAGATAAAATTAATCAGTCAAAATAGAAACAGCATGTGTAAGTGTTTGGATAGAGTAAACGAAAGAAACAACAACAAAAAACAGTAAATCACTGGAATGTGTTGTGACAACAGCAGGATCTAAAGAAAAGAGAGAGAAAGAGGAAATCAATGAGAGAAGAATTCTGACAGCCTTTGTCAGGATACTAAAACTGTCAGTACACAAAGTGATAAATGTTACTGGAGTATGTAACATACAGAACACAAAAAAGGAATGATAACGCAAATGCTAGCATCAATAAGGCACTTGATGCTGATGGATATGATGATGCAGAACAACTACTTTCTTCTTCTTCTTCTGTGTTCACCTGTAAAAGGATGGTGAGCACAATGTGATTTGTTTTATTACAAGGCTCCTATATCTGCGCCTTCTGGCCCAACACGTCCGATTTTGCACATCTATATTTACCGCTTTTTATAACATATTCTTTATGCTCTGCCTCGAGAAGATTAAATCTAGTTACTTGCAGCTGTGACACAGTCCCGTATATGCTGAAGTATCTGCACTTCTACAGTGACTTGCTCTCGAAAAGCATACTTAAATTCCCCTATTTCTATGTGCCCCTTATGGGGGTGTCCTGAGTGCTGTGATATCAATTCTTAATTCAAAATTCACGCTTTTGGCCACCTTTGTATTTACATATCCAGGAAATAAAACTAAAAAAATCCATTAGAACTTGGCCATTATAAATCACAAGTGTCCTTTCATTCCTCTTTTGTTGGTCACCATGTTCGTTTAGTTTACAGATACTGTTGTCTCGATGGAAACATTGATCAATTGCTTGCAATTTAGTTCTGAACAGTGAAGTGCAGTATTGATTTTTATTGAAACATTAACCCTCTTGAGACAGAGCCTTTTTGGAGTTTCAGTGTTTCAAAAAGACAAAGGAGGAAATTCTCACAGTTCATTCACAAAAATAAAGTGTTAAATTAACATATACAAAACTATACATATTCGTGTAGGAAATTGAATGAGCTCACAGAATATTTATGAATAAAACTGAAATCTCAACATTAATTCAAATTAACTATTCTGATCTGCATAATTTATGCAAGCATTTTTTTTAAACTTGGGAACACACACAACTAACCTAAACAATTTGGGTGAATATTTTGATGGATGAAGCTTGAATAAGTCCTAATACTTGTGTTTTGGGAAGTGAGGCCCTCAGTGGCCATTCGGACACTTCTAGCACATGGTTCTATTCATTCTCCTGCCTCCAGCTATGTTTTTGTTGCTATGACGCAATAGTCATTTTCGCCATTGTTTGGTACAGGTAACCACAGAAAGAAATTGATGTAAAATTACAGAACACATCAAACTTTCTCAATAGCCCTCAATGAACAGCCCACATGTGCAAGAAATGCGAAAAGCAATATGACTGGCTGGTACAAAAACCTGCCAGCCAGCCTCAAGGCTTGTGGGCCGAACGATCGGCCCAGTTGTTTTTACTGAGAAAGTTAGTTCACACCATGTCCGGCTGTATATTCAGTCCCGACAACTGAATCACGGTACATTTTCAAGGAGTCCCCTCGAAAATAGGTTACTGGAATCGTTTCCATGTTGCATTGTGCGACATTTTAATATGCTTACAAAGTCCTGTGTTCTAAACGTATTCGTATTACAAATCTACAAGCGGATGTTGTGAAGTGGATATACAGCAATTTTAATTTTAATTCACGGAAGACAGTCGTGTTGTGATGTGTGTGTCACTGTTTCTAGTCAGTAGTTTGGACTTTTGGGAACTGGCTGTTTGTTCTTTTTCTACTTTTAATGTAGAAATCAAATTGTGAATAAATTGTGTCATGATATTTCGGAGCTCTGGGTAAGTGCATAAAACTATATTTTATTTACTTACTAACCTCTCACAGCAAGTCACTCTTTGCCTCTTTACTAATTGTTGACTAACAGTATAATTATATGTTGTAAAAGTACACTAATAATATTAATCCTTAACCATTTGACTGATGCTTCGCGGACACTGGCTGTAAACTCTTGCGGAAACTTCTGGTTGTTCATCCAATTCTTATGCATATTTGCAGTTGTAAGGTCTGTGTTAATTTTTGTAAATTGGCTTTTGCATCGCGAACACTGGCTGTAAACTCTTGCGGAAACTTCTGGTTGTTCATCCACTTCTTATGCATATTTGCAGTTGTACGGTCTGTGTTAATTTTTGTAAATTGGCTTTTGCATCGTGAACACTGGCTGTAAACTCTTGCCGAAACTTCTGGTTGTTCATCCACTTTTTATGCATATTTGCAGTTGTACGGTCTGTGTTTTTTTTTTTTGTAAATTGGCTTTTGCATCGAGGACACTGGCTGTAAACTTTTGCCGAAACTTCTGGTTGTTCATCCACTTCTTATGCATATTTGCAGTTGTACGGTCTGGGTTAATTTTTGTAAATTGGCTTTTGCATTGAGGACACTGGCTGTAAACTCTTGTGGAAACTTCTGGTTGTTCATCCACTTCTTATGCATATTTGTAGTTGTACGGTCTGTGTCAATTTTTGTAAATTGATATGAGTATGTTGCTCAGCAATTTGCAGTTATATGGTCTTTTTTTAATTTGCTTTATAATTATCTTCAAAATAATATACCATTCATGATACTTATACGTGTTGTTGCATGCAGTAATTAGAAATATGTGTGATGTATTTTTAAACAGTTACCAAAAAATTGGCAATGATAAGGAATTGAATTCATCCAACAAGATGAAACTGGACAAATTTGTTTGTGCTGTTTGTACCTTGAGGATACATATTTAGTAGTGCTATAAGTACTGTTAAGAAAACCTCTCTGGGTGAAAAAAGTATTGCACATATCAGTTTCATACTGATTGTGCTTGTTTACAAATTATTTAATAACAGTATAATTATATGTTGTAGTAGTCTACTAATAATAACCATTAATCATTTATATTTATGTTATGTATGACAAGTGTATGTTTCATAGCAGTATTTTTATGCGCTAAATTTGATAAAGTACAAAGATCGCTTCCACGATCCCCAGTAAGTTAGTGAATTGTAAAGTAAAAATAAGCATGGCAAAGAGCTTGGGCGAGTGTGCCTCAGGCTGTGACCCCCTGACCTCTAACCAGAAAGGAAAATCAGTAACCATGGATAAGAGATTTCTGAGAGGGGTTGCAGGAGTCACCAGGAGGTCCTAGGAGGAAAAGCCGGCACAGAACCAATGCTAAATTACATACAGAGACAGCAAATCAATGGTTTGACCACTTAGAATGCCTTATAACCATACAAGCAATATGAGGAGAAGTACACAGAGCATAAGGTAGAACAGGATCAAGATGGAATGATAACACTAGAAAAACTCTACAACAGCATGATGTGTCTTTGGTAGAGGCAGCCAAAAGAGCGAGAAACAGAACCTTATATCTCCATCAATTCCTGAAGCACTAAAAGAGGGACTGAAAATGAGATGAGTGATGAGTTAGCGGAGTGAATGAGTGAGAAAAAGTTCACAAGCCTTATCTACATGCCCGCAATACTCACCAGCCACCGAGAAGGCCCAATCATAGAATTCCTGAAAGTCATACATCTTCTGTTTGATTACATCCATCTTTTCGTTTTTACTTCAGCTCCTGCAAGAAACACAGATTAAAAGGTTTAACCCTGTCATCCCGAAAAGGCTGTCTGGTCACTTTCAGTTATGATACAGCCCCGTAAATGCAGATATTTCTTTCTTATATCATAAAATAAAATTTACAAATAAAAAGAGGAAGATAAACCTTCATTATAACAAAAATGAACTGTTTTTCAATAAGCAATCAGTTTCATTGTATTTTATGAAATCTTACTCTCACTGACTTATATCTTAAATGCCAGCTATCTCTGGGTGGGTTCTGGGGCCCTGTTATAGGGAAAACAAGAATACACCCACTGCCTACCCAAAAGCATGTCATAAGAGTCGACTAATTGGGAGCTTCCTTCAAAGTCGGAGTGCATCTGCCTGAGAGGCAAGAAACCAGCAGCCTGCATACAAATGAGTCAGATCTGTAAAACGGATGCACACGCAACACTCATGTTCTGGAACAAGACTGCAGTCCAGAAGTGGATGAATTACCAGAACTTTCCGCCAGAGTTTACAGCTGGTAAACGTGAAGAAGAAGAAAAGACATGCCTGCTATATATACAAATGGAAGCTGTGGTAATATTTTGGCTACACACTACCTGGCAGAGTTCAAACCCACACTGAGGCAGATTTATATACAAGACTGACAGCAGCTCCCAAGTCAGCAGATCCTAAAATGGGTAGCTTTTTTTTTTTTTTTTGGTTACTACACGGTCATCGAGAATGATTGCCAGGATTTTAAACTGTCATTATAAAAGAGATATTTAATGGGTATACACCAGTGGCATCTTTAAATGTTCAGAAAAGTTTAAAGTGTTGAGCCTTTGTGTGACCGTTAAGCTTAAAACAGTGTTGGGAAGACAAGGAACATCCAGCACAGTATAGAGAGGGTTGATGCAGCAAATGCAATTGTAGCTTGTTTACACTATTCAAAAGACGTGGTAGGAGACTGAATTCTGTCTACACATTACATGAGCTACCAATGGTGCACATATCAAAGTCTACTAAAGTGTCTTGAAATTAAACTTTTCTGAACATTTTAAGATGTCATACATGTATATCCTTCTTCTTCTTTGCATTCACAGGCTGTAACCTCAGGTGGAAAGTTCGGATTTTTGCCCACTACTGGCCTTGAGTTTTGTTCCAGTGTGTGCACATCGATTTTACAGATCTGACCTATTTGTGTGCCGATTATTGGTTTCTCATAGATGCACTCCAACTTTAAAGGAAGCTCCCCCAGTTAGTTGAGGAGTGGCTGGCCGAACGTCGACTCTAACGGCATGTTTATTGGGAAGGCAGTGGGTCTAATCTTGTCTTCATCACAAGAGGATCCCCGAATCCACAAGGAACATGTACATTCATTAAATACTTCTTTTATAATGACTCTTTAAAATTCAAGCAATCATCTCCAACCCTGAAAATATTTAAATATAAAAACTGTAAGAACAGTGGGACTGCCCACATCAGAAAGAGACAATCTACTATCTTTGGTCATGTGATGAGAAGGAGAAAACTGGAGTAAATCGTGATGGTAAGAACGTTGGTGTGGAGGAGAGGCAGAGGGAGACTGAGAGAACAGATGCTGAAAAGACTGACATCATGGCATGGAGTATCATCTGTGCCACAGTTGACTGAAAGTGCACGAGACAGAAGGTTGTGGACAGATGTGACCACCAATGCCACACAGCATAGACATTAAGAGGAAGAAAAACATGCGGCTGATATCCTTAGCCATTACTTTCTTACAGCACACTACACAACTAACATATCAAACAGGAAAGAAAAAAACATTTCATCAAAAGTAAACTATTTCAATAAGAAATAGGTTTCACTACATTTTATTAAACACATCTCTCTTTATCTGACTAACTCATATTTAAAATGTCTTCAATAAATATCTGAAGCAAGAGCAGTGTGGTTTTTAATCCCAATCTATTTCTTTCTTTAACAATACTATACAAAGTCTACACACACAATACATCTGCTAAATATTTCCTGGGGTAAATTATGCAGCGTGAAATTGAACGCCAGCCGGCTGTGTGATATGATCAGGAGAGTCTTGAGAAGAACTTTGGACTACTTGGACACAAAAGCCTATTGAAGAGTAACTACTGCTACAGTGAACACATATATACATCCGCTGATAACAGCTGCTTTTATAAATTAGACAAGGCTGACAGAGCTTTGCAATCTTGACACACTTCAAAGATATTTCACTAGTTTTAGTCTCTCTGATAATAATCCAGAACATGCCCCTTGCAAAAAGGAACACAGACCACCATTACAGATCTAAATTACAGTAAGAAGCTTATTCTACAAACACAAAAAGATATGAATGGGAGCAGACGATAAGTGTCCAAGAAGAAAGTGGAGAGATAATATTCTGACAGACCTTCAAACACTAGCAGTCCTCTTTTTCTTCTGTCCTTTATTCTCCAATGGACATAGGTCCTCAACCAACTCATGCCAGCTTGTTGTATCTTTTGCTATTGCATGCAGCTCACCCCCTGACCTATCTTTTTTAACTTATCATTTTTTTTATTAGAGAGCCTCCCCCATCTTGGTTAGCTAGGTACTTCTTCTCTTTTTAATTTTTCCATGGTTGGTTGGTTTTTGTGGCTACTGTTTTTTATAGGATGAGGTAGCCAACCCTGTGGCCAACCCTTAGTCAACTCTTATGACATGCCTGGTAGGGTGCAGGGTCACTATTCTCTGCTTCCTGTGAGGGCCCGGTAACACATGGGGGGAAACGCTTGGAGTCATCAACTGGAAAGAGGTCAATCACAGAGAGGAATGGAGGTGGAGGATATCTACAGAAATGAACCATAATGGCTAAAACTGAAGAAAAAGAAGAATATTACAAGTAAGAACTGAATGCAGTACAATTTTGAAAAAAGTCACTCTTGTTTTCTTGATAACGAATATTGCCGTAAAGTGATCAAACCCACCCCTACACATTCGACTATTCATGACATTAACGCCCCTAGCGGGCAGGTCACATTTCAAATATAGACCCGTCCGGTGGGTATACAGTCCATCATATCTATTTATACCTTTATCTGGCGTAATATGTATTTCTATATGCTCTAGCTGTCTTGTGAAGTCTACATTTTCAAACTTACAGTTGTGGGATAGATATTTTCTAGATTAATATTCGTATTCCGAGAAGCCTTTTTACTCCTCGGCGTATTGATTTGGGAGCTTCTTTTTCGGAAGCGACGCTAAGTCTTCCCGGCATCATTCTCTGCCAGACTTTCAAGGTGATCAGAAGGGTTTCGCCTTTGTGATTAAATTTTGTCTTGAACAAAGTACCAGTTTAATCTTTGGAGAAATCCTGAGCTTGGGATGATATCTCTTTGGAGGCCAGGCAGTCAATCAGAAGTCCACAAAATCACCATCTACCACAACTCCACCATGGCAGACAAGGTTGAAGCCAGTGTGAAGGCATCAGCTTACAGGTCACCCATTTGTCATCAATCAAAGAGAACCTTCTTCAGGAGCTTTGTTGGGCTCCAGTGGCTAAGAGACAGTTGTTGCAGGCCACCAATTTGTCATCAATCAAAGAGAACCTTCTTCGGGAGCACTGCTGGGCTCCAGTGAATGAACTCTGTGACTGTGTTTACCAAAGCAACTTCCAAATCAGCCTGTTCAGATCATCATGTGCAGTGATGCCAACCAGGGATAAGATAAGTAACCCAACTCTATGGTGTGATGCCTTGTGCTCTATTTACAGGTCCACTTTGAGTCACTGGGATGATAACAGACTGTCTCGAAGGGTTTCTGGCTGATCCAGCAGTATTGCTTTGGTTTTGATCTCATTTTTCCAGTTGCTCTTAAATATCTTTGTTTAAGTCTTAATGATATATGTGTTGCATTTATTACATGCCTTTGGAAGTTTTCATTATTGACTTGAGTGTCCACCATTCACTGTTCAAACTGTCTAGAGTATTTGTATGTTTAACCATTAGTCTTAATCTGTGTTAACGTGGCTGTGATATTACAATATCATAGCCTGGGGGCTATCTTCTTATAGTAGTGAGGACGTCCAGCCAAGTTGCGCCTAGGAATATTATATATTCTGTAGTGCCATAGCTTGAGTTGCCCTACTCCTGAAATAGGTTGGGTGTATATTGGCCACGGGATACCCTTTAGACCAATACGAGCCGACACCTCAACATTATTCTATTTCAGAGTGCTTTTGGTTCTTACTGAGAAATCCTTAAATCAGGCACACGACACAAGCGGTATGTGACAAATATCCATGAAGCTTTTCCAGTCTAAGTCTTCAGGGATGGGTAAGCACAGAAGGATGAAAGAAGGCACTGAGGGGTAAGCACTGAAAGCTGAAATAAAGAGATTAGGAAATGGAGCAGTGAGCGTCACCATACAGAGAATTCCCAAAAAATCGGGAAAGCTAAAATACCTGAAGAAGTTGGATGTGTCAGTCAAAAATTTTAAAAATTGGGGGGGGGGGGGATATAGCAGCTATGCTATAAACAGGCTTAATTCAATTATTCTCTTTGTGGAATGAAGAAAAAGGAAAGGAGGAGAGCAGAAGAAAATTAGAAAAAAGATAAGGAAAGATGGAGGAGGAGAAAAAGGAGAGCAAGAAGAGGAAAAAGAAGAATACCCTAATAACATCATTGATAGGTCACAGAACCATCAGGAAAATATTATAACTATGATACAGAAATCTCAGCAATCAAGATAGCAACACAGTAATTACTGGAAATAATCCCAGTTCAAAGTCTGTGATGTTACTGACAGCCACAAGATCAATACTTTGAGCACTCCAGTCCAGAATATTTCCAGATCTACAGGCACTTCTGTCTGAACTAAGCAAAAAGTGTTGAATCAGTTTACAATGAATACCGTCTCACTTTATCAGACAATTGATTAACTAGTTTGTTTTTTCTTTTGGCGCAACAGATTAGTAACTGGATGTATCAGTTACTGGAATGCACGATAAAACTTGTGACTATCAACCA